TGTGTGTGTGTGTGTGTGTGTGTGTGTGTGTGTGTGTGTGTGTGTGTTGTTCCATTCAGAGGCCATGAGCAAAGAAGAATACAGATGGCTCATTTGTAATTCATTCGCTTGTTGAGGGAATCACATAAAGGGCACCAGGTCACACACCTAATAGATCCGAGTGTGTGTGTGTGTGAGTTTCGTCGTGTTCCAGGATGCCTGAAAAGTCTGCCGTCTTCACTCTCTGTTCCTTCAGAACATGGCCTGAGAGCAGCGGATTGTTCCTACTATGCCCAGTGTACGTGGATATTAGCTGCAAGCGAGCGTTGTTCTATCTGTGTTGAGTGTTGACAGTTTCCAGCTCTGTTAAAAATTGAAGTGAAGTTGGGAAAAGTTTTCTAGCTGCTTTACAATGCGTTGAATTTATTACTACGTGCACACACAGCAACCCCTTTGGGCTACCTATGTACTATATACATCTTTAAGAATCCCCAATGCATAGTTGATACACACATTCATGAATTTTACAACCATGTTTTCACATTGAGGGGGGGGGGGCTGTTCTGGATACCTAGAGTCAAGTGTCTCTTGCATTATTATTGGTGCTCTATACTGGAATTTACCTTTTTAAAGATGATTATTTGTTTCTTTGTAATTATGTCATGATTGTTAAAATTATTTTAACCAATCATCAATCATTCCAATTTTGTGCATCAAAAAACAAAGTGAAAGGAATTCAAAGAGCATCCCCTCTCCAACCAGCTAGTGCTGGAGAGTGGAAGCAGGAAACAGTGATGTCATCTGATGGATGAGGAATTTAGGGCAAAAATCTGATTGCAGAACATTTCGGAACAATTGCTGGTTGCAAATGAAGGCTTTGTTAAAAAAAAATAAAGACATTGGAAGCAGCGTCAATATAAAATAACTATATTCAGCCTCAGTCAAGCACAGTCATGTGACATCCTTTTGCAGCGTTTAGTTTCTCTTTTTTTAACAGAAATCCTGTTGCTTGGCTTTTAATGTGAAACGTGTGCAGGATGTGTGGAGTGTCTGACAGTAGCTTAGCATGTTATGAGGGGGGTCCTCGCACATCTAGCTGCCGGCGCAGTCCTGCCGCGTGGAATCCCCATCCCCGTTAGGAAGTGTAAAACATATTTTCGGCTCATTATTAATCTGTGGCTTCTCATCTCTTTGTCTTAAACAGCCAAATCCGACTCAAATATTATTATTTATTTAAATCCGATTTGGGTTCAGTCTAAGGCCACATTCTGAATATTAGTTTGTGCAAATTGAACTGGTGGACATTTTTTTGCAGGGATTTTGCCTCTGATTAGATTTTGTGACTATGCTTTTAAGCCCTAAACTTAAGCATCGCGTGACAACCAATGTAAAATAAGCTTTTTTTTCTTGTCAAAACAAGCACTGCATTCTTCAGGACGAGCTAAATGTGGGCGGTGCTGCTGCATACAAAGCAGACCCCACGAGGATAAACAGCTCTGCCTGGTGCAAACTTAAAAATGTCAGGGGAACGATGCTAAATGAAGCCAATATTTAATATTAACTTCTATTAGTTCTATTCTTCTACAAGTTCTATTAACTTCTCCATTCCACCATGACCCCGGTGTGAGGTAGAGGAGGACCATGGAGGGGAGGGTGCTGGTTCTACCCACTGACAACAACACTGGACAGCACAGCGAATTAAATCCTGTACCGAGGGAGAAGGAGTGAGGGGGGGGAGAGTAATGGTGAGAGAGCAGCATAATGAGAAAAGGGAGGACGGTGAAAGAGGGAGCGATGGAGGACTCTCCTCTAATCTCCCACTGAAAGATGGAGATTAGGGGGGAGAGAGAGAGGGGGGAGATATGGATAAGGAGAGATGAGGAGAAAGGGAATGAAAAAGAGGAGGAAGAGCTTGGCAGCCAAGACAAATTCCTCTGGTGCTGATGAGAATGCTAATCTCCTTCCCTCCCTCCCTCCTTTCATCCCACTCTCTTCTCTCCCGTTCCCTCTATCTGTCAGAGGCTGATGTGTTCATCTCAAGACGTGTCCAGCTGCAGTGTGGATGTCTCTCTCTTTCTCTCTCTCTCACTCTCTCAAGGGCCTAGCCTAGATTAGTGTGTGTGTGTGTGTGTGTGTGTGTGTGAGTGAGTGAGTGAGAGTTCGTTGTGGGTGTTTGCGTGAGTGTGTGTACGCATATATAAGAGAGGATCATGTGCATAAGCTCACCAGTGTGCATTGTTTGAAGGAAGATTTGTGTGCGTTCGCTTGTGCGCAGCTCATCAATTAGAATCGCTGGCGGAATTGAGCCGGGAACATCTTCTCCGCCGGCTCACTGCGCACCCACACACCTTGTCCTGTACACACACACACACACAAAATCAAATGCACATGCACTCTCTCTTCCGGAGTCTGGAGAAAGCACAAACGCATGGCGATTTGACAGATAGCTTTGCATTAGTGCCGCCTGCGTCCTAAATGAACACGTCCCCTAGTGTTGTGTGCACCTCCTTGTTAGGGGCCCTAATTTGGTTAGTGCTTTAATAAAGCTGGGAACCTGGGATGCACGAAGCTCAGGCTCTGCTGGTGCACCACCAGGGTAGCAGCGGGGACAGAGAGAGAGAGAGAGAGAGAGTCCTACTCCAAGCCTCCCTACTGATCATGCAGTTTACAGAAGTGTCATTCTGTCATGAGGAAGTCGGGCAACCTGATCAATTCTCTGAAGAACTCTGGGACGATCAGCAAATTTGGCAAATGTTTCACTTTGTAGAAAGATCTGTTTGAGTGTTCTTCACGGGTTGTTTCATTCTTCATAGTGTCACTTAGTTTTACACACAAACAGCTCTGGCATGTGTAAAGAAGTTTATTTCTCATCTTCACGCAGCCGGCTAGTCGCTGCCAAGCGTGGCCAGCCACGTCATCGGCAAGTGGTCATTAACGTGTTGCTCGAGCGCTTGTTGATGTAGGCATTTTATTTAGACGGTGATTGGTTGAGACCTGCTCAACTGTGATTTGTGGCGCGTCACGCATCAACAAGCGTCGGGCGTCAGTTTGTAGCTTCGTGATGCCGGCTTTCAGTGAAAATGACTCGGAGTCCGTTTGCTGTGCCCCCCCTATAGCATCATGACATATGCATCAAATTGTCACAACAACCCGCAAATGTGAAGATTGAAACACATGTACAGGAAAATATGAATGAATACAGGAAAAATAGCTGCAACATTTCAGAGCTCCCTCTAAATTTCTCAAATGAGGTTTTGGTGGCGGAGCTTCGACGGGGAGTATGCATAGAGGAAGTGCATCAGAGGCAGAGACGTTTCCAGCTGAAACGCAGTTGCGACTATTCATTTTGATAAGAGCAACGGACAACAGTGTAACTCAGTGACAGACATTTTATGCATTTATAGGGCGAGTATTAGCTATGTTCTAGCTGACATTTCACTGTTACCTTTAATCAAATAAGTTGCAAAAACGTCTGATGTGGTGATGATCAGTATGCACAGTAAACCTAACCTTTCATAAAAAATGAGAAAAGGAAAAAAAGGAGGCACTCTGATTTAATCATGAACATTTTACATCAAGGCCATAGAGGAAACCCTGCTTCTCTCCTCATCCGATTTTCATCTGCCACCTTTCTTTTCTTCCTTTACCCTCTTTGTTCTCCTTCCTTTTATCCTATCTGCTTTTCTCCCTCCCTGACTGCTGCTCTGTCGGTCTGTCTCTCTCTCTCGCTCTCTCGCTCTCCCCCTTCCCCTGTCCTCTCTAGCTGAAATAATGACAGTGTACCAGGGAGCTGTGTGGTGACGGGCCGATCGATGATCCCTGCTCCAACAGGCTGAGACGAGAGAGAGGGAGAGAAAAGGGAGAAGGGGCAAAGGATGAGGATAAAAAATAAAGAAAAGCCGGGGGTAAAGTGGAGCAGTGAGATGCTGCTTTTTGGAATTGTTAGATGCCTCGTAATTTGAAGGGAAAGATGATCATTTCTAAAGCCTGACCACTGAATTAATTGGATTCCATTTTAAAAAGCTGCCTGATGAAGTGATACGCTTTAGAATTCAAAGTCCTTCAAGTGTTGTGACTTTGATTAATTTCACCTTCATTGTCGCCCCGTGATATATACGTAAGCAGGTTTTATAAATATCCGATGAAAAGCATGTCGTCTTGTTTGAAAAGCCTTAAAAAGAAAAGTAGTCAATTTAACCTGACTGCCTCTGAGCTAAACTGCTCTAATGTTTGGATCCAGGGACATTTTGGTCAGTGAAATGTTTTTTTTTCTGCCTAAAATTAAGAAATTACAATCAATTTGAATGCTTTTCCAAGCCGCCTTAACAGGCTAGATTGATTCAGCTTTCGACACTCATAGGTCTTGAATCCTCTACGGGCTCATCTTAGACTCGACAGTTGATCCATAAGTAACTCTGAGCGATCTAGTGTATAGATCCCCGCTACGGGACCAAGGAGAGCCAGGGGTCAGGAGGTGTTCTGGCAATCCCTCCTCATCAGCAGAGGCGCTCTCCTGCCTGCAGCGCGCTCCAACATATGGATTAGTACAATCTGTTCTCATTTCAGTGGCCACCAGTAGGGCAGGAGCCCCCCCCCCCCTCCCATGCATAGGTGGTGAGCAGATTCTCAGAAAGTAAAATGCTGCTGGTGATGGTGGTGTCAGTGCATTTTGGATAAAAGTTATTCTTTGTAAAAACAGAATTTGAATTTGTATTACTTTATCAGAACACGGATACAGCTTGGCGAGTTTGACCGACCATTCGCTGTATCTGAATTTGCATAATCATGACTCATGCCTCAACCCTGTGGAAGAGGTTCGTCCATCGCCAGGCTCTCGAAAACTCACATCAAACCGTCAATCTGGGCCAAGCAGAGGAGACATGATGTCCTGCTCTAATCCAGGTGCTTCGTGCAACCTGCTGCGGCTCCGGACGGCCGTGTCACTTACAGCGGAAAATCCTCCATTGCACCCAATATTCCTATTTTTTAACACATGTTATGCAATTTAAGTAACGAGCGCCTCTTCCTGGATTTGATTGACTGCCTGGACCAGGTGTGACATTGACGAGAAGGTTTAAGTTGAACTTTTATGGGTGTCTAAAAGTCACTAGAAGTACGTGATGTGCGGGCCCAAAGTGAGGAGAGCACGCCAGGCGCACTGTACCATGGGAAAACGTTGGACTTGCTGGTGACGTGTTCCTCAATCCATGTGATCGAGGCCTTAGGTAACAATTCTCTGTGAGTTTGTCTCTACAAACTCCTTTCACGTTGCACACAGTAATTTGATCAATTGTTAACATAAGATCTATTGATTAGTGTAGCTTTGAATTAGTATCAAGTCTTAAAACTGAGGCCAAATCAGACCGAAAGTACATCTTGAGCAAGACATTCATTGCAAAGAAGGTTAGAAGTTATGTCAGTTAGAGTGCACGTGTTTTCAGCGTGGAGTAAATCTGCAAGCAGTCAGTGTGCTGGCAATGTCCAATATATTTCTACGGAGTCACACTGAACGATTGTAGTCCTGATGTGGCCTGCAGAGAAAATTACTTCTAATAAAGCCTTTTTATGCTGATTGAGTGGCTCATCCTGTCGCAGACACATTTGGAGGAGGTTCACGTCCCTGCTCAGAGACGGTAATGAAGGTGTTGCCGGTTCTCCGCAGGTCTCCAGCAGCGCCACCCTGGAGGGCAAAGGTCAGCTCAAGTTCACCTCGGGCAAGTGGAGCCCCCACCACAACTGCAGCCAGCTTGCCACAGCCAACGACACGGCCATCCGGGGCTGGGACCTCCGCACCATGAGGTGAGCTCTCCACTTTCTTTCTGAAAATACACCATTCGAATCCAGATATTGATACTTTAAATGACTATTATTTAAGACAAAGACATTATAAATACCTCTCCTACTATTTCAATGTATTGATAATTTGTTCTTGAAATATGAAGAAGTACAGATACTTGAGTTGATAAAACCCACATGTGATCAATAATACCATGGCTAACAAGCAATGCTTTGGTCACATTGAGGATCGACATTTTTAAAAAGAGCAACATGAGGCATGTCTTCTGTGAGCTTTGCTCAGTATTAGCATACCTTTTTCATACGCATGCACCTGAATTACAAAACAGCCACATGTTTTCCAACAACCTGCATTTAAATCTGACAGAAGTGAGTCATGTTGGAGTCGCCAGTTAAACTCTCAGAGCTTAATCATTTCAGTGTGTGTCTACACGTAATTACAAGATATTTCAGTGCAGTACATGGAAGTATGCATTTAATTTGACTCATCATGCTGAATGGAAGTACTGCAGATGAGTCCACATCCCTTCTGCATATGTTTAAGAAAAGCCCCACTGAAAAGCTCTTTCATAT